GCTCCGGGTCTCCACAGGCACCCGCATCCTCTACACCCTCCTACACATCCTGGCCTCTACCGTGTGCTGCCTCATGCTGTCCCGCACTGTGGCACAGGCCTTCAGGGAGAAGGTGACATGGGAGCTGGGACTACCAGGGTGCTGAAAGTGCTGTGGGTCCCAGGCCACTAGGGTGCCAGGGGTTCCAGGGGTGCTGGGGGTCCCAGCTGTGCTGGGGGTTCTAGGATTTTGGACATCCTGGGCACTCAGGGATGACAGAAGCACTGGAGCTGCTGGAATTCCCAGGGGAGCCAGGAGACTTGGGATTACTGGAAGTAACAGGGCTGCCAGAAGTGCCAAGGGTGCTGGAGGTGCCAAGGGCAGAAGACCCAGGAGTACAGAAGATGCAGGAATTGCCCCACACAAGGGGGTGCTGGGGGTCCCAGGGGTGCTGGGGGAGCTGGGGGTGCCAGGGCTGAAAGGTGCTGGGTCCACCAGCAGCCCTGTCCCACCACTCACCACACCCACAGGTGCCCTTCTCCACGGTTCTGTGCCAACACCTTCCGGGGGGCAAGGACTGGCAGAAGACCCAGGAGTACAGAAGATGCAGGAATTGCCCCACACAAGGGGGTGCTGGGGGTCCCAGGGGTGCTGGGGGAGCTGGGGGTGCCAGGGCTGAAAGGTGCTGGGTCCACCAGCAGCCCTGTCCCACCACTCACCACACCCACAGGTGCCCTTCTCCACGGTTCTGTGCCAACACCTTCCGGGGGGCAAGGACTGCGAGCGCCTGGTGGGCTCCTCGGCCGTGTACCGGGTCTGTTTTGGCCCCTCCTGCTTCCACCTGGCACAGGCTGCCCTGCTGCTCAACGTCCGCTCCAGCACCGACTGCCGGGCGCAGATCCACAACGGGTACGGGGGCAGGGACGAGGATGGGACACAGCTGAGCCAGGTGGCCCAGGGGTGGGATGGGATGGGGGCTGCCAGGGGTCCTGTCTCCCTGATGTTCACTGCTCCACAGGTTCTGGCTCCTGAAGCTGCTGGTGCTGGTGGGGCTCTGTGCTGCCAGCTTCTTCATCCCTGAGGATGGCTTCATCCAAGGTGGGACCCCATCAGCTGGCACCCCCAGCCCCCACCTGCCCTGGGGTTGCCCCACGCTGCCCTCTCCCCCCAGCCTGGCACTACACAGGGGTCTGCGGGGGCTTTGCCTTCATCCTCATCCAGCTGGTGCTGATCACGGCCTTCGCGCACACCTGGAACAAGAACTGGTGAGTGCTGGGGGGCCAGGGGGGCACGGTCCCACTGCCGACCCTCACCCGCTGCCCTGCAGGCTGACGGGCGCGGCGCAGGACAAGCGCTGGTACCTGGCTGTGCTGCTGGCCACCGCCGCCTTCTACACCCTCGCCTCTGCCGCCTTCTCCTTCCTCTACAAGTTCTACACCCACCCGGCCGCCTGTCGCCTCAACAAGGTGCTGCTAGCCCTCAATGGCAGCCTCTGCGGCCTCATGTCGTTCATCTCCATCACCCCCTGCGTGCGGCTCAGTGAGTACCACACGGCACAGCACGGCATGGCAGGGCACAGAACGATGTGCCACATGCTGGGCTGGCTCCGGGCTCACAGCTAAAGGCAAGCCCTTTGGCACCCAGGGGGGGACCCAGCCCTCCAGGGCTTCCGCTGTTCACCCCTGTGGCCCCACACAGGGTGCTGAGGTGGGAGGGTGCTGCCCAGGGCCCAACCCCTGGCTCCTGGCACTCCACGGGTGCTGCTGCCCCCGCTCTAGAAGCGCAGCCACGGTCGGGGCTGCTGCAGGCCTCCATCATCAGCTGCTACGTGATGTACCTCACCTTCTCCGCACTGTCCAGCCGTCCTCCGGAGAGAGGTGGGTGCCCCCCGGTGCCACAGGCAGCGCCCCGCTGGGGCAGGAGCCCATCTCACCTCCACCTCCCTGCAGTGCTCTACAAGGGACAGAACCTCACCGTCTGCTTCCCGGGGGTCCGGCAGGACGAGCTGCAGACAGAGGACACCACTGTGGCCATCCTGGGGGCCACCATCATGTACGCCTGCGTGCTCTTCGCATGGTGCGTGTGCCGGTGGCGCGGGCACCTGCTACTCTGTCCCTCTGGGCATGGCCAGCCCAGTAGCTCTGCTATGGGACACTGTCCCCAGCCTGCAGCACAGCCAGCAGAGCCAGGAATGTCCTGAGGGATGGCAGGGCTGGGCACGGTGGGCAGGGACAAAGCAGTGACCCCAGGCATAGCACAGCAGGTCACCTGTGGCCATATCAGATCCACGGGGTGGGCTGGGGGCTGGCGTGGGGCAGTAAGTGCCCATGTTACAGTTTCTGCCTCTCTCTTGGGCACAGTAATGAAGCCTCCTACCTTGCCGAGGTCTTCGGACCCCTCTGGATGGTTAAAGTCTACAGCTTTGAATTTAAAGTGAGTGCAGGTGCTGCCCCCACCAGCTGTACCCCATGTGCCATGACCCCAGGGGCATACCAGACCCACCACCTCCTCCTGAGCCCTCAGCCCAGCCCTGGGGGGTTTGCCCAGTCAAGCACAGGGGGTTCCCACAGTGCACCCCCTCCCTGCCCCACACCAGCCCCTCAGAGCCAGGCAGGGTCCTGGTGACCAGCACATGCTCTCTCTGCAGAAACCCTCCTGCTGCTTCTGCTGCCCTGACAAGATGGAGGAGGAGCTGAGAGGTGGGTGCCGGGCAGAGCCTGCAGTAACACACACCCTGAATTGCCCGTGTCCCAGCCCGGGGGTGCAGGTGGGGAGGGGGTTCAGCATCTGCGGTGCCCCTGCATTCTCCCAGGCACCGGGCAGATGTGTGGGCAAGTGGAGGAGATGGACGAGGGACAGTGTGTCATCCAGGACGAGCGGGAGCGGGTGGTCTACAGCTACTCAGCCTTCCACTTCGTCTTCTTCCTCGCCTCCCTCTATGTCATGATGACCCTCACCAATTGGTTCAGGTAGGGCCTCGTGCTGCTGCCCAGCAGTGACGGCAGCACTGACGCCTCCCGGGCATCGCTGCCCCTCAGCACTGTCACCCTCCTCAGCACAGTCACTCCCCCAAATATCATCACGCCCCCAGCACTGTCACCTCCCCAGCATCACTACCTCGCAGCTCCATCCCGCTCCCCCCTCAGGCTGCAGTGTTGCAGTCCTCTCTGTCCCCCTGCTCCAGGCCCTGCTGGTGTCCCTGAGCTGTCACCTCTCGGGGGAGTGCGCAGCTCGGCATCCAGAGACCCGCACTGCTCCGACCGGCAGCCCCGCCAAAGGCTGCAGGCACGGGCTGGGGTCTGCGGGGCTGGGGGCTCCATCGCAGGTGGGACGTGCCCAGGGACCGGCAACTGCTGGCACACAGGGTGACCTGGCGCTGGGACCCTGATCCAGGCATCCCTCAGGTGACCGATACCAGCCTTTCTCCCACCAGCTACGAGGACGCGGTGCTGGAGAGGGGCCTGCGCCCGCCTCTCCCTGGGGCTGCTGCTGACCCCGCTCTGCCTGCGCAGCCCCCCCCGGCACCGCCGCAGCAGCCCAGCCCTGCGCGTCCTGCGGCGCCGCCGCGCCCCGCAGCGCATCAGCGTCTCCACGTAGTCCCCGAGGGACGGACTGTGCCGGGGATGTCCCTGCCCTGCCCTGTGCCCTGTGCCCTGGACACTGTCCCAGGAGATGGCAGCACCGGAGAGCCCAGGGGGGACCCAGGAGGCGGCTGCTCCCGGGGACACTGGTCCTGCGCTGGGTCAGAGACGGCTGAGGGACCGGCCAGAGCCACACGGCGACCTGCTCAATGTAAATAGCTCCTGGAATACATTTTTACATAAAACTCTGAGCTGAGCCTGGGCTGTGGGGCTGGGCATGGGGGTGCCCCAGCGCCAGAGCAGCAGCCATGGCCAAAAGTGCCTTTGGGGCAGCTCTGCCAGAGGGGGAGACAAGGCGTGGGGGGCAGGCAGCACTGGCCTGGGCTCCAGCAGGGCATTCAGCAAGTGGCCAGTGCACCAGCATAGGCCCAGCTGGGCCCCTGGAGGAGCCAAATCCCCCCCAGGACACAGAGATCACTCCCATCACTATGTGGTGCTGGGTGCATCAGCCCAAAAGGTCCCTGTGAGCCATCAGGACACCAGCCTGGCCCAGCAGTGGGGCCAGCACATGGACAGGACCCCCAGATGAGCACCTGCCTGGGCAGCAGGGCCCAAAGACCTGCCCTAGGACACAAGACACAATGCCAGGCCCATGCCCAGTCCCAGCTGCTCTTCACTCCAGAATGGAACAACTCTCCACATTCAGCTTTATGCAGGACAACTCTGTATGGGTTGGGAGATGCTGCTGGTTCTCCCCAACCCAGCCCATGCCATCCCATCCCACCACAGCCAATGCCCTTCTCCCTGTGCACTGTGGTCACAGCACCCCCAGCCCACTCTGCACCCCGTGTGCTCTCTGCACCTGAGCAAAGCCTCAAGGAGGATGGATGGATGGACAGGCAGACAGATGGACAGAGCCCCTGGCACCTGCCAGAGCCAAGAACCCCTGAGTGTGGGTACCAGAGCAAGCTGGGGCACTGGGGGCCCAGACCAGTCCTCCCCCAGAAGGATTTGGTGCTGGCACCGCCGTCGTGGCCCAGCCCCAGGCCCCAGCTCCACCCACAGAGCAAACAGGGCACGGCAGCACCGTGGGGCCACGGCATCGGCTGGGCCCCACACTGCAGCACTGGCAGCTGGTGCCGGACGGGGACCAGAACCCATGGCCAGGGCCCTGCACCGACCAGCCCAGCGCAGACGGCAGGATCGGTCCCACGGGAGGTGAGGTGGCACAGACCCTGCGTCTGCAGGGAGGGCTGGATGCCCACTGGGGAAACGCTGCCCTGCTCGGCCCCATCGCGAGTGCCAGCAGCTGGGAAGTCTGCCCCGAGCTGCTGGCATGTACCTG